TTAGTATGTTAATATGGATTGGTGGTCAAAGCATCATACAAACTATATGTACAAATCAGAATATAATTGATAACAAAGTGGGCAATTAATATGCGTTTCCTAAATGCTGCTGCACATCAAACATTATTCTGGATAACACAGGTTTGGTGTGTCGTCAACAGATCTCAGTCTTGGCTGGGTAGACCCCTGCATTACCATAGGAAAGTATGGTGCACGGTACAAGTTTATATGACCTAAATATATTAGTAATTTGCAATATAAACTTACTGAATGTGTTGATTCATTTTGTGTTACACCAACTGTGCACTACTTTACACTATTCCTGCATCAATATGTAGTGATCAGGCATATGACCCCCATCACTAAAATATGCTTTCTGATGCATCAAATAAAATAGTTCCTGTACCATATATATGTGTATTGTATCATTTTTGACCATTTACTTTGTGTGGTCGCTGTATTTTTAATAACTATTTAATAAAAAATTATTTTTAATGGTTCAATAATTTTCTATTCACTGTTTCTAGTAGTGCCCTATTACAACAAAGTATTTCTGTGTTAATGTTTATAAGGGACACCATGTTAATATATTCGTTTGATCTGTGATTGTCCATACACAAATTTGCTTTATTGTAAATTAAGAATCACTGCACATCCAAATACAGTTGTCAGTTTGATGTTAATTTACAACATCATAGTATTGTGTAAAATGTGAATATTATAAATTTTCTGATGTCTAACTCAATATGTAACATCTGGTAGGTCAAGAAAGAACCAGAGACACGTCAGACATGGATGCAGACAGTGGAAAAGGTACCATGACAAGCTATGGCAGCGTCAACTCGCTCAGTTCCAATCATTCGACGAGTACAACCTCAACACCGGTCATATCCACTGATAATCCCGAACAATTTGAATCTTTAAAGCAGAAAAAAGAGATTGTGGAACAGGGTATTGATATGTTTAACAAAAAACCTCACAAGGGATTGCATTACCTACAGGAGCAAGGAATGCTGGGAAAATCTGCTGAAGAGGTCGCTGCTTTCTTTCATGATGAGGAGAGGATAAGATCGGGTATGCTAATTTGCCATTAGTTGTCAGGTGATGTGTCACACTGAATACTTGACCTCTGACCTCAAATCACAGGTCCTTAAAGTAGAGATGCAGTTTATTTGTGAATTTCAATCAAAAATAGTTTTTTCCGTTTTTTATATAGATTTTTATCTAAAGAACATTCTGTGAAAATTTGACCAATGAATTCTTATTGGAACACCGTTAAAATTGCTGTTTATTTATTTATGATAAACACTCACACGTGGCAATGTTTATGTCCAATTGCCTAATTTGCATGAGTAACCAAATAACAGGACCTTTGATTGACAATATGCAAATGGAGATTGTACGGGTCATAGTTCATTCAATTCATGCGCATGTGCAATTATTCTCAAATCATTTCTCGCTCGCTATCAAACCAAACATTATATTTCCTCAGCGTTTTTTCCTAATTTTATCATTACATTATG